AGAGGTGGAAGCAGTAAGATCACTTGAACCAGGAGTTTGAGAACAACCTAGGCAAGGTAGTGAGACTCTGTCTCAAATAAAAAAATAAAATAAAACTTTAAATGTTTGAGGATAACTGAAATGTATGTTTTAGTAGAGATATGAGCAAATTGTCATGGTATAGCAGATGAAAGATTCAGTTTGATGAAGGGAAATGGAGAATTCACAAAGAAAGAGGTATTTGAGCGAGGAGTTTTTTAAAAAGGAAGATTTTGATGAAAGGGATGAGGTTAACAGGATGGAAAAATTAAATGAGAGAAAATATAAAATCATGACAGTACTTAGTTTTTGATGGAATGTCAGAATCTGGTGTGTGTAGACATTTTTTTTTAAAGGGATATAGTAGAAGATGACATCGAAAAATAAGTTTATCAGGAGGGCCTTGAATGTAATTCTGTGAAATTCATATATTAGTAGGCAGTGGGAATCCACAGATGTGTATTTTTCTTCAATAAGCAATGTTTTGAGTTCATTTGAAAACTAATAAATAAATACAAAATTAGTCCGAGCCATGTTTTTTTCCCCTAGTTTCCCTTCTTTTTATCTAGCCTTTGTTTTATTTTATGGTATAAAGATTATTTCATGTTCTGAGCTCATTCTAGTTTGGTTTTGTAAAGAGCATGAGTACTTTTCTTTCTTCTGTGTTTGGTTAGCTTACATGAGCAATGAACCAACTAAGCATAGGCAGGAAGACCTGTTAGGAGACCATTGTCACAGTGTTGGTGAAAAATGACGATGCCTCATGCCAAGTCAGCAGTGAGAATGGAGATGGACCAAGACTACCCTGGGCTCTCCTGTATTCCAGCTTAGACTCGAGCGCATTTCATCAAGGTTCCATTACTGATTATTTTTCCAGAAGAGTAGTCATCAGTCAAATCATTTTGAATTCGGGTCACTTGTGATGGTGACAGTTTGAAATAATCCATCAATTTCTCTGCTTGTGTTCAAAATAGTATTTATCAAACCTCCAGTCAGCCTCTTCAGCTAATTAACCTCTTGATGTGAATTTTGCAATCAAGGCCTAATTAGAGCTTTCTTCTTTTTCCATATGGTTGTGTACCTTCAGGGGAAGCTTCAGGGATTTATGTGAAAAGTATAATACCTGGCAGTGCTGCATACTACAATGGCCAAATCCAAGAGAATGACAAAATAGTTGCTGTAAGTAACTGACCTCTTATTTAGATTCGAATCAAGTTGAAAAAAATGTTGATCTTTATATCTTTGAGAGAATGACTTAATCTAGTTTGCTAAGGTTTTGAAAAAATGAAGTTTACTAGTACAGTGAAGTCTTATTAACTTGACCTCTTATGGCCTTAAAGTTAACTTTTTTTCCCACAGCCAGTAAAAACACGATTCACTAACCGTATCGATAGGGGGGAATCACACAAATGTTTGGATGTATGCTTGTGAGTAGTCAGAATATGTTTTAGCATTATCCTAGAAAATGCTTTTGAAGTATTTCTGTGTTTTTTAAAATTACTCATTTTATATACAATTAATAGGCCACTAGCCAGCTCTTTTCATCTTTTTATTTAAACTAGTTTTGCTACTAACAGTAATTTTGAGTACACCCAAAATTGAAATTTTTATATATTTGAGAATATAACCTTTTACTAAAATTTCTTTCTCCATTTAATAGGAAATAAATTGTCAATATATATTTTTCGTATTTGTAC